AACAGAAACAGAGGATGCGTTAACTCACTTTATGAAACGGAAAACTCAGAGTTTCCCATATTTCAGATTTAGAAAATGTTTCTTTTCAGTTTTAAGTAAACCTGCTTTGTGAAACGGACTTTCATTATTTTTCATTCTGTTTTTGTGTCTTTCGACAGAAGTTTTTCTGCCTGTTGGATCCAGATGACGGATAGCTTGTGTTCCATCAACTAGAAGCTACCGATCAAAGAGGGTTTGTTTTCATTTCTTTGAAGGTTCAACATTTAAAATAGCTGCTCATTAGCTCCCTCTCTGGTCAACATAACGTTAGTGTGTGCAGGGTTGATATTCCAGCTTGACTTTGACCCCAAATATCAACCATAACTAGTGGCTTGGTGGTGTTCCCTTTAAAAAATGGAGGCCCCACCCTAAAAACTTTACTGCAAGGAAGTCGCTTACTCTAACAAGACTTCGATAAAAAGACGAAACCATTAGCCTCTATTTCTGAGATATTTACGACGGAGTATTAGGGCCACACATGAAGAGAAAAAATATTTTTGCCATGACGAGATTAAACTCAACATGTCGACTTTAAAGTCGACATGTCGACATTAAACTCAACATTTCGAGAATAAAGTTGAAATGTCATGACGAGATTAAACTCGCCCTGTCGACTTTAAACTCGCCATTTCGAGAATAAAGTTGATATATCGTGGCGACTTTAATCTCGACATTCCAAAGTTTGGAAAAAGAGCAACCGCGCTCCACAGCTGCAGTCTGCGTTTTAAGAGTGAAGGTAGTCTTTGACGTGCTGCACCGATTCTAAAGTACAATTTGACCAAATCATCTACACAAGGCATGTCTGATTCTGGATTCCATGCATGTATCCCGTGCAGCGGTTGGCTCTCTGGAGCTAATTTCAACTTTATTGTCCACACGTCGAGATTAAACTCAACATGACATTTCAACTTTATTCTCGAAATGGCGAGTTTAAAGTCGACATGTCGAGTTTAATCTCGTCATGGCAAAAATATTTTTTCTCTTCATGTGTGGCGCTAATACTCCGTCGTAGATATTGGTTCAGGTTAGGGTTGGAAGATTATTTTTATTTGCATCGCAATTGTAATTTAAAAATTAAGATTTCCAAATAACAGAGGCAGAGACCAAGAGACTAACTTTCTCACTGCAGACCTGTAGGAGGCAGTAATCAATGAAGGTGACGAGTTGCTGAGGATTAAAACCTAATGTTAGAACAGAAAGGAAGAAAGAGTTGCAGCTGGTGACCAGATCAATGCATCCATGCAAGTTACAATTTTATCATTTCTGCCAAAATCACACAGCTCTAGTTTATTCGCTGCTATATCCTACATTTTCCAGAAGAATTTATTAACTTCATAATTTGGTGACTGAATGCAGTAAATATGATTTGGTTGGCTACTATATTTTAAGTATTAGATGTGAAAACACAGACATCAATGATAAGATATCCAACAGCAGTCTTTAAAAGTCTAAACATTTATTGCAGTTGTTTCAAATGAGAAAAATATACCTCTTTAATTGATGCCAGGAATGTAATTAGCTATTTTTTAAAATATTCTGTGCAATGTTGGAAATATTCTGTAAGTGTTTTTAAGTTCATAGACAGTAGCAAAAGGTGAATATTGGTTGCTTGCAGATTTCGGGATTGGCCCCTTTCTTTTGCTTATCTGAAAGCCACATCAGGAATACAGCGTGCATCACACAGCAAACCAAGCAGCCGTATGTCATCTGCAAATCTACACCCACAGACACAGGAATTCGGTAGAAAGTGAGCGCAGTGAGATGTTGTGGTTTTATGTGTGATTTCTCATTCTGGCTTTCATTTTGAACATTGTGTTGACTGAAAAACAGAATGGTTAAGGTCTCAGCCCTGTACTGTCTGTGTTTTACAATGCAAGTGCACTGTTTTTATTTATTGCAACTTCCTATTTCCTTTTAGGGACATAGGCAACAGGAATATTACAGATGCCTGATACCTGCACTACTATGAGTGTGTGGGTCGATTACTCTCATTCCAAATGACATGGCGTGTCAAAGTAAATGAGTGGGTGACTTTTGTTTTCATTTTTTCCTCATAAACGGCTCTTGATAAGTAAGATGAAAAAAATTCAGGCAGTCGCTAAGAACACTTGTTTCTGCATGGTTATTAAATATTTTAAACATTAACTGCCTTTTTTTAAAGCTTGAGTGGCTTTCTTAGATGTTTCAGCATTAAAATATTATCACCCAGATTGTTTTATTATTTGGTATTGCTGTCAGTTCCACTGTGCATACATGAAAAACTTTAAGCAGGCGCATCTTTGGGCAGCCATATTGTTCCTGCTGCGTTTTCATCATATTAACATATTTTCCTCCACTGGGAGGAGGCCAAGGAGGCAACCTGGGCTACGTTTCCATGCTGGCCAAGAGGAGCTGGAGGGGTCTGGGGAGAGGGAGGTCTGGGAATCTCTGCTGAAATTGCTGCCCCGGCAATAAGTAGACATCTACGACTAATTCAATTACTGGAGAAATAATATTTGACAATATGCACTTATTTCCTTATGCCTTATAAAAAGCTGTCTTTTGATTGGCAGCATAATAGGCAAGAAAGCCAAATGGAGGTAACTTAAAAGATAATGTTTGCTTAAAATTGTATGGTGTCACTGGAGGGACATTTCAGAAGCAAAATTATCATAATCTGTATGTCCTGTTATGTTCATCTACATTTATTTGTGAGAAAAATTAAATGACAACATTTTAGGAAGTAGAACACGGACACAACACTGCCTGCAGTTTAAGAAACTTCTGGAATGTCTTGATTATAAGTTATACAATTACAGTATAAAAGGCAATTTTTTTTTTGATCCAGTTTTAAAAGAAAATGTTAAAGACAAAATGAATATGAAAGAGCCAAGAACCTTACTGGGAAGAAAGGACTAGCTATGCCAGAGGCTTAAATTCACTGGAAAAAACGATCTAGAAATAAGTCAAACTTCCTTAAACTAAGTTGAATCACCCTTAATTTGAGTAAATGAGGTACTTTGCCAATGGAATGAGTATTTTTATTCTTAAAATAAGATAATTACATAATATGCACTTGAAATAAGACAATGCAATTGAGTTTTCTTATTTTAAATGTAAATTGTCTTGTTCCATTGGCAAAATATCTCTTTTACCTCCTCAATCCAAGAGGAGGTCACTTATTTCAAGAAAAAATTACTTATCTAGATTTGGATTTTCAGTTGGTTCCTGATTTAGCTGTTTGGGAGCCGCATCCAGAAGCATCAATTTAAAGACTTCTATGTGTTTTATATCTATACATGGTGTATTTGATCAGACTCCAGTGGCCTGCCAAAACCATTATTAGATGGCGACGGAGCAGAATCCACCAACCAGCAAAGATAAATACTTTCAGAATGTGGCGTTATCTCTGAAACTAGTAAGTCTAGATAGTTTTAATATTTCTGAATTATTTCATACCAAGAACAAATAAAGAACAAATTAGCTTTATTGGTTCCTACAGGAAGCAGGTCTGCCTCTATCCGTCTTCTTCTGAAGAGATTTATAAATTTATTTTTATAAAAAAAAAAATAGAGGAGTATAGATATTAATGAACATTAAACGACGTGAATATACCAGAATTCCATCTGCAGTTCTCCTGGCAGGTCGATGTCAGACTAATGCAATATTTACAACAGACACTAAATACAGAAGCCATAAAGTTCATCATAGTTCAGACAAACAAGTCAATGACTTTAAGAGAGAAAGAAAAAGGTTAATTATTTGTACTGTACTGCTCTCACTGATATTGCACTGATTGCTTTAATATTGTGTTTACTGATATGTTGCACTCAATGATAATGATAATAAATGCTGCACATGACCTGTTTATGCCACTGTTTATCACTCTAGTGCACCCAGATCACTCAGAGATGATTCACCATAACAAACACAGACTCCAGCAGGAATTTATGCTCTCTCCCAGTAAAGCAGTATTTTCGATTTATAATTAAATTGTGGTTTATTAGAAACCTGTCCAAAATTAACATGCAAAACCTGGCAAATGATTTCAAACTACACTAAAAAACAACGTCCTTAAAAGACATATTGAAAAAAACAGAGAAGATTTGGAAAAACAGAAGTACCCAAGTTATAGAGTCTAGCAGAAATAAGTCACCACTGTGCAGAAAAATTGTTTACCTGAAGAAAAAGTGAGCAGTGCCACAATTTTTCTGTTTAGAGGAGTGAAAAACGGCAAAGTAAAGTCGAGTACGGGAGCTACAGAAAAGCTTAATCATGCTGAACACTTAAAAACAAAAAAACCTTTTTGGACAATGATACCAACCAAAGCGGCAGGAGCCGCATGATTCAGGATTACGTCTTTAACCTAAACCAATCTGATCCTAACTGACTCAAAGCTTTACGTTTAAGAAGGGGAACATTTTTAAATAAAGGAAACAGTTTTAAGATTATATAGTTTAAAAAGTCTATATATCATCACTCTTCTTGTCTGTAGTTGGATTTTCAGGCCAAAAGAGCAGAATTCATCATTGAGTATAGAGTGCATCAGAAGTCACTACACCTCCACTGGTAATGGTAATTAATGGTGTGTTTGAGTGTAGATTGTTTTCTAAGATTAAATTAGACCATTTACCAGAATTTAAATGAAGTTGGGTGGAGGTCACACATTAAAAGTTGTTTCCACGAACATCAGAGATCTCTACTGGTATAACACTGAAAATAACACTGAAAAACCTGATTTCTCGAAATAAAATATTTAAATCCATTTTAGTCGTTCTTTTTTTTTTCTTTAGAAACTAAAATATGATGTGTGCATAAAAAAATTACATTATTTAGGATTGAAACATGCTCCAACCAATCTTTAAAATGAAAAGTCTGCATGTCGACAGATTCATTAACCTTCAGTAAAACTCTCTTTCAAATAGTTTGATTTGTTTCTCCCAGAGAACTTTTTAAAATCAAGCTTGAAGGTTTGGTCTTACCTTAACAGAAGCTCCCGCCGGCACAACCTTCCGCTCACCACGGTCTCTTTTCTACTCTGTAAAAATGCATGGTGCATTATTCCACAGGAAATCTATTCTCACCTTAACAAGAATCCACAGTAAATGCCAAATAAAGAAAACCTAAAAATCTGCTCTGAAAACATCAAACATTTTTAAAACCAAATTTGAATATTGCAACTTCAATGTTTATGATGTAGTGAAAAAACATGAACCCAGAATGGATAGAAGAAAGAGACAAACCTCAGTGCAGTCTGAGGAGGAAAAGGCAGCCGCCACTCCTGCCCCCAGTTTTTATACCTACGGCTGCAGTCAAACACAGGATCCAAGGGTGTTGTGCTCATCTGTACGTTTACTCCAACAATACAGAAAGATAATTCATCCTTTTTTTGGCTTGTTTGATTTCTTTGACTTTCATCAATAATGAATAATAGTGTCTGTATTTCTTTGATGAAGAGGATGACTTTTGGGATTTTGAACAACTTCAATTCTATCATCAGTATTAATGTTAGAAATGCTGATTAGTTATAGTTATAGTTAGTAGTTATTTCTCTCAAAAGTAACTGAGTTAGTTTTTGTAACTAGCTAGTTTTTATTATCTAAACTGTGTATACATTTAAAAAAAAAAAGGCTGTCTTTTTTAACTTAAAGGTATTGTGGAGGATTTTCGCCTCTCCATTTAAAAAAAAAATGCACGTGCGAGAGCGTGCACAATCCCATTTCTCCTCGTGCACGCTCTGTTTAAAAGTTGCTGTTCTCATAGCTAATCCAAGCTTACTGTGTCCGACCGTCCGCCCTAACCTCTGAATCCCTCCGTCACTATATAGAGCGGGGACTATATAGTGAACTCAGTTAACTGACCGTTCAGACAGATGATCACTGCTTTTTGCTCCATTGGTCACGTAACTCCTCCTCCACCGCGCGGTGCCTGCGCCATCTTTGTTATTAGTCACTGCTGTCGGGTAGCGACAGTCTATGGCGACAGCGGGCCGCTGTGACAGCAAATCCCATAAAGCATTCCGGGAGATATCTGCATCTTCTGAGGCCTTTCTTTTCTTCTCATTCACTTCGTAGACACTTTTTTCCCTTCCGACCTTCGGCCATTTTCAAAGAACCGCAGAGAGAACGGCGAGCTTCAATGAAACCGTAGCTCACGCCTGAAAGTGCACAGAAAAAGATAGCTAACGGGACGAGCACATAGGACGGCCTTACATAAACATATCAACAGAATGATTGACAGTTAGGAGGACCACTGATTGAGATGATCCACTCGGAAATAAAAGATCCTCCTCTATACCTTTAAATTATAATTTTAAGTTCAATTATCAAATATAATGTAATGTAATATTGCTCAATTGAGTCTCAGCAAATCTGTGCTGTTAGAACACTTATCATTTGCAATATATTCACGTAGATATGATTATTGTTATTTATGCAATAAACTAAAGTAGATATTTTAGTCCACAATTGATTTATTTATCCAGCAAAAAAGTACCCAGAAAGAACTAACGCATACTCAGGGACAACATGCACACTCCAAGCAGAAAGACCCCAGGCAGGGAATCGAACCCAGAACCTTCTTGCTGCAAGGCAGCAGTGCATGCCACTGAGCAACCATGTTCTATTTGTAAACATGCATCTTTAGTTGATTCATGTATTTTTGTTCACTCAATTTTTCTTTTTACTGGTCTTACTCTCCATCATCTCCTGGAGTTTGCCGTCACAAAGCTGGCAGCCAGAGCTCAGAGGGTTCAGAGCAACAAAGACCAAATCCCCACAGAGACTAGATTATTTTGTCCTTTAAAGTCTAAGCTTGTATTTTTGAAAAACATAAATAATAATTAATATACATTATTTTTTTAAACTGGGCCCATGTGGATAGGCCTAAGCAGCTGGTGCTTATTAGGCGCCTTTTCAAGTCAAGAGACTCTAAAATTATTTAAATTACATTCAGCCATTTACCTATTTACACAGGTGTTAGCAAGCTATATTGTAACCTCCACTGCCCCAGGGTACCGTGACAGAACCAAGGCTGCTTTACTTAAGGCACCAAAAGGCCCTGTGACCACTGCCAGTAGGCAATGTGGAAAAAGTGTCTTGCCAAAGGGCCACAGAACTGAGACATACAGACAGAGTTTGGGTTTGAACCTGTGGCCCTCCAGTTGCAGGAACATCTTCAAACTATGCAATTGTCCCCCAGTTATCTTACTGTCTTTAAACAAAAGAATTACACACTTCGTTTGCAATACCTTTGGTCCAACTATACTATAGGACAGAAAAAGAGTCTAAAGTAATCCTGCATAACTATTGACCCAGTATTAACTTGACTCGAGAATTACACTTATTGTCTGCAAGGACTGGAGACCTGTCCAGGATTTTAATCTGACATGTATACTGTAGTACCTGAAGGTAGGAATATGGGCTTTCTGTATGGAAGTGAATCTCTAAGTACCTGAAACCAAGCAGCTGTAGTTGTTTGTGAGTGCTCAATAGTGGTTGTGAAGAGCCGAAGACGCACCCCTCCAGAGCACCGAAACCAGCGCCGGGGGACCAAAAGCCCCAGATGCCCAAAGCGACCCCAAGAGCAAAAGTTCCCACGAGGGGCCAACCCAGGAAATCTGCCCCCCTATCAAGGGAGAAGGAGAGATGGCCCCGATGAAATGCCACAGCCACCGCTATGTTGGAGCCCCAGGAACCGCAGGGATGAGTCCATGGGCTCCACCGGCAGTCAGCCACACCGAAGTAAATTCCGGCCATGGGCCGGGAAGTATAAGCCAGTAACCGCCCGGGCCTCCACCCACTTAAACAGTACCCAAGTGAAAGGCGGGGCACATCCAGATGGCTACTCTGTTAAAGGGTAACACAGGGACACACAGCACAAATGACCCTGTATATAGAAACTCACCCCTAGGACACTGTATAATAATAATAATAATACATTTTATTTGAAAGCGCCTTATCACAACACCCAAGGACACTGTACAGGCAGATAATATAACATAAGTCATGACATTACTTTGAACATTGGGGATAAAAAAATGTTTGCTCTCTTCTCCAAACTACTGCACAACCCCCTTTCCAAGATTCCAAGAGTTTAAAGACACAGACATCCTAAAGTCCTTTAGATGCTCTGGCATCTGCTCACAGGCACAGATGCCTGGAGGATTCCAGAAAGAGACAGCATTGGGGGGGGGGGGGGGGGGGGGGGGGGGGGGGGCCTTGCAGGCCAGGGCATTGTCATTCTTCAAGGTTAACTCGCCCTGCTGGCTATCCAAGAAAAAGATTTCTACAAAACAGACAGTCTGTAATATTCTCTCTGAGTTTGAACTTAGAAGTCCTAGATTTGGATTTAGAACCAGAAGAACCAGAAATGTCAAAGACAGACTTGGACAACTTTTATTGTCATTTTTTACACAGAGTGTATACAAAATGAAATTTAGTTTTCTCCAGCTCTCCTGACATTTCCATTCCATAAAGTGCAGCAGTGATCAAATGTAAACAGTATGGGAGAAAAACACATTGTGCAAAGAAACGCATTGATCTGGAAGTTCAGAGATATATTATATATATTGAGCAAATATGCAGTATGTTTGGTTTGGTGTTTTCAGTGTGATGCAGAGTCTGTTAGAGTTTTCTCAACAGTTCAGCTGTCTGATGGTGGTGGGGAAGAAGCTGTTGCAGAATCTGCTTAGTGGTTAGGCCGGTTCTTCCTGAAGTCCACCATGATCTCCTTGGTCTTCTCCACCTTCAGGATCAGGCTGTTATCTCTGCACCACCAGCTGCTTCACCTCCTCTCTGTAGTCCAGGTCGTTGTCGTCTCTGATGAGGCCCACCACCGTGGTGTCGTCTGCAAACTTCACCATGTGATCGGTGGTGAACCTGGGGACGCAGTCGTGTGTCATCAGGGTGAACAGCAGGGGGCTCAGGACGCAGCCCTGAGGGGAGGGCATTAGACTGATGACATCAGAGGCGTTCTGTCTGACCCGGACTGACTGAGGTCTGTTGGTGAGGAAGTCTAGCAGCCAATAGCAAAGGGATGTAGAGGATGTGCTCAATTCTGCCATATTTTGAGCGGTTGTTTATAAAGCTAAAACAAACTTTATTTCAGTAAGGGTTCCAATGCTAAGATAGCATCTAGATATATTTTTTTGATATGTTCATTTTAATTTGGCAAAATATGACCAAAGAGTCCTTCTAAATAAACCCAGCTTCTTCTGCTAGGCTAGTAGCTCCATTTTTAACTCTTCAGTATTACGTTATTATTGTACACTTTTCTAAGGTCTACATTTATGTGACCATTTTTTCTGTAATCTTTTTGCTGCCACAGAATTTCCCCATTCTGTGACAATAAAAGTATTTTCTAAAGTATTTTATTGTATTCCATTCTATTCTATTCATTGTTTCACCACCTAGCTATAGAAGCTAGTAGTTAAATTTCCCCATTTTTAGTCAGCAGTTTTAACCAAGATATGTTTGACTTAGAGCTGAATGATTTTTGTTAATAATTTCTTACATTTTGAGTGGAAGTTGTTGTGAATTTCTTCCACATGTGTGCAGAGTTCACTATTGGGCCGTCATTTCCGCACAATTCATACTTTGTCCTTACACACAGCCAGTTGGGTGTATGTTAACAGATCAACAAATGAGAGTCTGAACCTTATTTAATTAAATAAAATAAGTAGAACAGCATTGAATGTAAAGTTATTGCATAACAAAACATCCATTAACATGACTGTCATGTTTTTGCTGACCGTGGGAGGAAGCTGGAGTACCCAGAGAGAATCCACACCTGCTAAAGAGCATCTTTCTCTGAAAGAGGGGGGATTAGCAGGAGCTCTTATAGTGGTTATGGAGGTTCAGATACATATGTGAAGTTTACTTTAGATAAATCTGGTTCATGCGTTAGTTTTCCTTCAGCTGCACCTCATTACCATTTCCTCTGGTTGGTTTGTCCTTCCTCTGCCTGATGTTCTCTATAGAAACTCTTCTGCACCAAATCTAACTGACTGGATGCTGTTTTCCTTACAGTTCAGTCCAGTCTGCTGGCCATTGATCTACCTTCACCTGTACTTTATTAAACTGTTTCTTGAAACAGTTTAATCTCCCCGGTCTGCGTTTTGGGTCAAATAACTACTGTCTGAAAAACACAAGAATTGAAAAGAAAAACCTGCTATTACAGCGTTTAAAATGAATTACATTATTGTTTTATTGGTATTTTTATAAGGTAATAGAAACTGCTGCTTTAAATATTAAG